TCACTGTCATGATCGTGCGTTCTTTATTCCGTTTTATAAGTTAGTATAAGCTCTTATTTTCATATGGACGCGTTTATTCCCGTGAATTTCCTAAATGTCCACTGGACTGTCAAGAACTATAGTGATTCAGAGCTTAAATCAGAACTTAGTCCCTTACATAGGCACAGTATAATGGACTTTTACTGCATACGTTTTATAAATCTATTAATACTGCAATTTATGTAAAGAGCTCCCTATGAAAGATAGTCTGGCTACTTTATTCTTTTACGCGTTTTGTTTTCAGAATTTTTCTTCAATTTTCAGAATTTAGGGTTTAGGTATGGTCATTATAAAACTGCCAAATGTAGGCGTTTTGTGCAAGTAGTAGAAATGGATTATATTATTTTCGAATCAGCGGATCTAAAATAAACAATGTTTATTAATAAACGCACAATATATTCGTAATTAAAGCCTACTTGCCTGTTTGACTGCATTTAAACTAAGACGCAACTGACCATAATGTGTGTTTGATTGACGGGGCTGGTTTAGAGATGTGCTGCATACATTGTTGGTATTTATACCTAGGCCTTCACAAGCTATATATCCCATATCATTCGGATAATGTTCAAGTGATGTTTTGCTACAGGATGACAACTTAGCATCCCAATTGTATTGCTTTAGGAGCGTACAGTGAAGGGAATATCATGAAAACCCAGTGATGGGGGGCATGAAAGGAATAAATAATTACATGTATAAGTAGTATCCTTGCGACACAAGGTTACTCTGTAATTTATATCTTTCAATTTAAGCTGTGAAATAACAGCCAGTTAGTCCGTAGATCTCGCGAATCAACCAAATGACCGTTAGTTGAGTTGCTTAACTGCAAGTAATAAATCCCCTCCCCTCCCGCGAACGTCATACTGGCAGGTTTCCAAATGAAGACTATACCGCAGAAAAAGTTTGGGGCCCAAAAGAGGGTCAGCCAAGGACACGTTTGGGGAACACGTTTGAACACGTCATGATGGACATTTACCGTTGTAGGACCAGAACAGTGCCTCTGGTAAATAGTTTAGAACCAAGGGACCGAACTTGATTTGAAGACCAGAAGAGAGGCTTAACAGACGTTCATTGTAAAGTCACGAGCGTGCGTCATGAGCACGCTTTCTATACATCAGGCGTGGGGGACGCACGTGCGACGCATTCTCGGTGTGCTCTCGACTTTGTTCGTTAGTTGTTAGGGCGTGCGTCTTACTCTACACGCAAAGGGCACTTGCTCCTTCGATGCTTGCAACTTGCGTCTTGCACAACGAGCGTCTCTCATGCTAACTCCGTGCGAGGGGAGCAAGTTACGCTTGCGGCCTCGCTGTTCGCAGGCTATTCGTAGAATCTTTTGGAATGTCCAACATCCTCCGAACATGCTTACGGACTGTCTGCAAACTCGAAATTGCGTAAGAAAGCCTTGCGTGGGACGTGAGATTCTGCGCAAATTTTGGACGCAAACAGCCCGTAAGAGCCAGTACGCCGGTTGTGACCGAGGCTTAAACAGAAGATCCAAATCACAGCGTCCCAATTTGTGCGCTCACTTCAAAAAACCGTTTAATCTTTCATATTGATCTGGATGTGGACGTCGAGTTAGGATTACCCTCTGATAACAGGTATAATAGTACAAAATTAAAGCATCAGCGGTACAATGATTTTGTAGCAGACTTCTAGAACGCACCCTGTGGTCAGAGGGTAGGCTAAATGAATGATACTGTTAAGTCAAGTTCCCAGGATAAGAATTTAATTACCAAGGTTATATGGTCACATGGGCATATCTTATCCTCTCAGGAAAAGTGTTAGAGCACTCTGGAAATCGTACTCAACTAAGGCAGGGGATCGACTTTTTTTGTGGAAGTGGGGCACGCTCAAATATCTCGTGGAGGGACAACCGATCCTTATATAGATACATGTATATTGCAGATTTCGACCGGTAGCCCGTCTTCCACACTATCCCAAAGACTCGTCTTCCCATACTTGTACCGGACAATCGGCTCATTGCTAGACGTTATAAACATAGAAGTGGATTTTGTCAAGCGCTTCGGTTGGACCCGCGTGGCATTGCTTGCGGAGGACAAGAGGCCGTTTACAGAGGTAAAGTGGACACTGACATTTCCAGTGGACTGACAGCATAATATTTCTTTGCCTTTGAAGGAATTCTAGTATTATTATCTGCCTGTGTGTCACGCATGAAATGTAAAATTAGTCTGCATGCAAAACCTATGCTTTTGTTTGAAGAAATATTGGACTTTTTCAAGAACAACTGTGTTTGCTTTTTCTTTTCGGAGTAGATGTCGAAAGAAGTTGAAGTTCTCCTAAGACAGTCGGGCATAGAAATTGTCACTTCTGTATTCTACAGAATAGAGCAGCTAGGCCAATTGATGGAAAAACTGAAGGTGAGACTTTAATCATAAATGAATGGGTTTAAACTACAATACGAATTCTTTGGTTTAAAACTAAGCCAAATAGAGCTACCCAAGATATAATGGGAGAGATGCATCATTCCTTGTGTTCAATGGTGTCTTTCTCCTATATTCGACCTACTTGATACACATTCAATAGCCTTCATATAAAATTAACCAGTTTTTTCTGTCATTCTAGGAACTGGACGCAAGGGTAATCATGCATCACGCTAACGGAGAAGGCTCATCGCTTTGTCATGTGTTTTGTCAGGTAAGGTTAAAATGACAGCGCACAGCTTGCGTGTTTTGGGCTGAACCAACGAGCCGCCAAATTACAAATATTCCGGTAGTTTTATAAACACTGTCTGCCGGCTTACGAACAGATAGTAGTCCTACTGGGACTTAGGTTCCTGGCTCATAATTATAGTAGGTAGTAGTTGTATAAGTGGATGACTTTTATTCCTGTTACGGTTAAATGATACAGTTATAAATGTATATGAAAATCCTTCTGGTGAGCCATATATAAGACAAAAATGGAGAGTTGCAACTTCAGCTCGTCTTTGTAGTATTAAGTATTCATGAATCGCCTGTTACATACTTGGGTTCGAGACCTACCTTTGACATGACCTTACCCCCCCCCCCCCAACTCGGATAACATGTTGTAGCTAACTCTCTGTTGGTGTTTTTAATGTATAGTATTCTAAATTCTGTGATTATTACACTTGCAATTAGTTATTTTTGTTTTGTTTTTTTAAGACTCAAAGGGCCAAAATACCAAAGGAATATTACAGACCATTATATATAATTTCAAATTCTAAACTGTCTTGATTTGTCTTAAATCGTCTATCCAAGAGCAAATTTCCATTGAGTTTGGGGTTATTTTTCAATTTCTGCGAGTGTAAACCGAAAAACTAATCTAAGAACGGAGATCCCTTGTTTTGTGTAAAGTGATTTCCCCTCATTTGAAGGCCTAAGAAGGTCAATGGCACATGTAAAAATATGCGTTTACTACAAGAAAAATACACAGAATAAAATAAATGAAGAAAAACTATAGGAACCGTGTTGTTTGCGTTACATAAGATAAGATAAGAGTTTATTCAGCCATTAATATATAAATATATTTCTGTTTTTGTTTCTGATCTGTTAGTATAGATGGCACCTAGAGAGGGGAGTTCCAGACCGATGATATATGGATATCAACTGCCTATCGGAAAAAACATCGTAAAATATTAAAATTAAATGAAATAAAGGGAACCTTTATTATATCTTTAAATCTAGTATATCTCCATATCTATTTATTCATGACATTTCTCGATGTAAACAATATTATAGCGTTCATAAAATCTTAGGAACGCACGTCCCATTAGGACGTGCATTACTACACGTGCATTACTTGCGTTATTTGGGAGCCTTCGACCCACGGATATTGTATCTTAGTAACGTATGTCCTAGAACATCCGTCCCTAAAATTGCATGCCCTAGGACTTGCATTCCCAGGATTTTGTGTCCGGTCGGACTTGCGTTACCAGGACGTGCACTAATGCCACACCTGTCTTACAAGAATGGTAGTCCTAGGAATGGAAGTCCGGTCTCCCATATGAGTACTACAGGTTTGGGTTGGTCGGAGTCTTGGGATTAGTACATGTTTATGGGACGAATGCCACTTGTACATTTAGTAATTGGAAATGGACTATAGTTCCTAGCGGACTTCCCGTCACTTCGGTATCTAGACAGTGACAATCCAATCCAAAGTGTAACTGGCTACGCTTACACGCTACACTTCTTGGGACTGAAAATGCTATAAAAGTGCCATTGAACTTAGTTTTTGGCACTTTCCAGTCGTACTTACATTTTCTGCTTTTATTTGCTGTTGCTGATTTCTATATCTTAATCAAGACAATGACGGAGACTGACTGGAGCAGACCAAAAAATTGACCCTCTTGTGTCTCCTCTAATAGATTGGTTCTGTGATTCTGAAAAGGTGTCGTGCTTAACCCTTGGAAAAATGAAAGGATTTGATAAAGTTGTGTTTTTATAAAGGGGAGATAGAGTGATACATGTACCGTATAACAGTATCTGAATACGGCAGCTCTATATCCAACACAATATTCACATACTTTTTAAAAACGACATAGAACATATATTTGGCATAGTTTGTGGTTTGTTTATCTTTTTTTTCAAACAGGCATACAAATATGGCTTGATTGGAAGGAAATATGTCTGGCTGACTTTGATGCAAAACGTTAAAGATTACCGCAAATTTGCATCCAATATGCATCAAAAAGGGCAACTCTCTTGCAACGCGGAGCAGGTTGTCAAAGCGGCAGAAGGACAGTTCATTATATTCCGTGCTGACACAAAAGATGCTAGCGAAGTTGGATATGAACCACAACGGTCATTTACAGTAAAGGTACCTGTATACCTGTACGCTCACGCACGTGGACACACACACAACGGTCATGCAAACACACTCACATGCACATACAGGGTACATATCGTGCACGCATTTCAGGTCATAATATCAACAATTCATAGTCTCTTTAAGATGGAAAACTTGTGAACTTAAAGAGTAGCTACTTCTGTCCATAAGCGACGTTGTTGATATGTGTATATACACGGGCACATTTTTTAGGATCATGCGGAAATTTTGAGGGAAATGAAAAAACAAGCTTGGTACAATGACGACACCAGAAGAATGCTTTATCAGTTGAATTATGATGCCATATGGGCGGCTGCATTGGCCTTAAACAAGAGTCTGTCTCGTCTTCCGCCAAGAGTAATCACCAACTTCAAATACACCGATCTGGGCACGGTGACGGACGCTCTGATGCCGGAAATGAACCGCACCGACTTCTTCGGTGCGTCGGTAAGTATTTCAAGGTTTGTCAGATGTCTTATAATGTAGGGGAAGAGTTAGTTGACAAAATTCACTGAAATGGGGCTTTGTTTTGTGTTTTCGCTATTATTGTCTGTAAAAAAAACAGTAGGCAAGTCATAGCTCTTAATGTATTTTCACACTTCCAGAGAGACATATTTGATGTGAAATCATTGCTTACTTCTATTGTACTATTTTGTAAGTTGTTGGTGAGGTAAAAGTCAAAATGGTTTTCTATGATTTTCACTTGTAGGGCACAGAGAAGGGACTTGCCTGAGTTTGTCTCGGATCGAAAGTAATACTTTCATGGGAGATATAGGAGTAACTTGTAAGCTGCACTGCACACGTGCTCAACCTATTCCCCCCTTAACACAAACCCGTCATTGCTTTTGTAAAATCATCATGAAATTGTTTTCTCTTTCAAGGGTCCTGTGTCTTTCTCACCGCATGGAAGTCGAATGAGCTGGCTGGCTATGGAGCAAATAAGAAGTGGGTTTCTAGCACGCATCCAGATGTAATGTAATAAAGCCACACACAACCACCTCCTCCCCGACTGCCACCAGTCAAACAAACACTCATAATGATAATAATAATAATAATAATTATAATAAATTTTTAATTGCTTAAAAATTAAGCAGACGAGCTACACAATATCGAAACATTCAACAACCGTGGAGAAATTGTTTCCAACATAAATTGCAATTCAGTTGCTTTAGTGTGTGCCTGTGTTTGTGTGTGTGTGCGTTTGCTAGAGTGTATGAGTGTGATAAATAAGATGTGCATGCATGCATCCAGTTCTTTATCTATGCCCCCTACATATAAAGTAATTTATATCCTGGAATCAATGATAAATTGTTATCCTATTTCTGATTTCAGACGGTACAGCTATATTGTTTGGTATTTATGACCAGAAATCCCGGAAAATCACTTTGTCGAAGAAGATTAGTGACCTGTGGTATTCTCATGGTGCGTTCTGCGGTTGTTCTACCTATTCAGTGCACTGATCACCAAACTTAAATTGAAATTCATTCACCAATATTTTATTGTCTGAACCAAAGCAGTATGGCTTTTTAGATCTATCTTCTCATATTTTCGCCTCCGTTTATTTATTTGCGTCTGACTTTAATAGATATAATAGGGAAAACTTTCAGGTTCGGCAAGAAAAATTACATAAACAGGGACATTTTTTGTTTCAGCTAAAATATAAACTTCCCTGCTAATGCACAGTGGAAGCCATCTGCAGGATCCATGTTGGGATTGGCTTTCATGTCCATGTAGCTTCGGCATGGGCTTTATTTATTTGTTTATTTATTTGGAGGGTGGCGGGTCGTCCAAGTGGACTAGCTGTTTTGAATATTGTAAATAGTTCTAAGTGTAAAATCGCCCGTTGCGTTCTGAGCAGCTGTGTAAGGCATATTTTTTTCTCTCCATAGGTGGCTCCATACCTCAATCTGGGTACAGGACGGTCCGAAAAGTACTGGTTGTCACAGATGAACTAAAAATAGCCTTTACTGTGATCGCTGTGATATCAATTGTTATCACTGTTGTGTTCCTTTTAGTAACGATCGTCAAATGGAAGACGCAGTACGTATTGGAACCGGCGTTGGCAGGAATGCGTACACATAACTGTCATTAAGTGTGTAAATTTAATCAATCACATATCAATATATGAAATGGTTAGAACAAGCGATCCATATCAAGAATTTTTGTTTACATGGGAAGTTTTATTGCACAAATTGTCATTCATATGTTTTTAACTGCAGATGCACCGGTGTGACAGGAATGGTAGTACGTTTCCCATTACTTTGTACAGATGACGTTCGTCCAATATTCTAGCTCCAATACTACGACTTACCCTAACATGTACTAACCACATGGGGCCCTATAGACTGGACTTTCATTCCTTGGACTACCATTCCTGTCAGAACGACACACACGTTCACAACTAACACAATACAATTTAATATTTAGGTTAATTCAAAACTCATGGCCACTGATGAACAGTGTCATTGCACTAGGATGCATCTTCCTGGCTGTCAGTGTCATTCTGCAAGGTGAGCAGTCGTGCAAGTCGATTTCAATGTATCTTTTTATGTGCAGACACATATCTTTCCGTCTTTAAACATATAGCCGTCACCTGCATCTGTCGTGGCCGTGAATTGAAAATCATGTCACTTACTCTTCTTTAACTTACGGAAAAGTAACATATGACAAAAATATAGCTTCATTTGGTAGACCTGTTTTATTGGTTATCTTATCTGGAAATTATATTGTTTGTCAAAATTAAAACTTTCACTTATCGACATTTTAAAGGTGTGACTTTGAACTGCCATTGGCTTGAAGACCTTTGCTATCACATTTTCTGAATATCCATGAAACTTTCATTTTATTATTAAAAAGTTATGGTCATTAGCTTGTTAAGCATTATGTAATATTGTATAAAAATTAAATTCTTCTATGCTGTAGTTGCCGACATATGGATACTTTTTTGACAGAACCATGCTTTGCCAAAGCCAAGCTTTGACCTGCCCAAAGAAACACTACCCAATTAAATCACTGCATATAACATAATGCTGCAGGTATTCAGTTAATTAGTAGCGACACACCTGACTACACACTTCTCCATTCACATATCATATATGAGAGTATATAGGAGTTTTTTGAAAAAAGAACACATTTTACCTAGGCATACCTTCAAAACTGAAATATTTCATATTAAATGTCAAGTCTGTATATATATATATTTCAAACACTGGCATCTTCAAAATGTGACTATTAACTCCCATCCATCAGAAGCTCTGTGCATTTCTGTATGTCCACATAGGCAATTGTATTAGTTTTTATGTCTTTAAACATGATGTAATATTATTTTATGCACTGTCAATATTTTTCACATATTGGGATTTTCATTATGTGAATTTGAACTCTCATGGTCCTGAAACTGTAATCTTATTGATTATGTTATTTGTTATTCAGGATTAAATTTTAGTGTTGATTGACTGTGCTGTTATAAGTATCATATATTAGTGTATCAAAATTGACCAAATGACCTATTTTCTGCATCTTAATTTTCTGCTTTTCGTCTGTACATTTGCGGCCTTGTTTAAAAGAAACTTCTGTGCGGGCTGTGAATTTTAGTAACCTGTTTTTAATCTGTGCTGGTGACTTCTACCTTATCACATTTGTTTTAGGCCCCATTCATAGACCAATGGCGACCCACTACAAAGCTTGTCATCTAATCCGCTAACATACACTGAATATATATTTTCAAGTGGGTCGGCCAAATTTAACCCTCGGAGTAGTTAGTCCCCTATTCTGAATGGGGCCTTAGTTGCATTATACGTACTATATATAAGCCCACATTCCAAAACCAGATTATTTGTTCCAGGCAGTGCAGCAGAGTTGTCATCGATTAGTAATGTACCATGTAATGCCTTTGTCTGGCTGTTTGTGACTGGGTTTACATTGTCGTTCGGTACCATGCTGCTGAAGATGTGGGGAGTGTGTCGCCATTTTCGTTATCAGCAGGATTGGGTGAGCTTTTATTAATGTAATTTTTGGCTTTCAGTAAAACGCAGCGTTTTATTTACATCTTGCATACTGTCACATCTGTTGAATTGTCGCAAACATGATATTGTTGTATTCAGCACACTGCATGTGGGACACAATGCGATCGTTATTAATTAAGAAATTAACTTAGACTTGTAGTGGTCAGCTCTTTATTCTGTCTTACATGAGCTGTACAGTGTGCATCCACTTAAATCTCACGAACAGCAGACTGTCACGGAAGTGAAATCTAAAATAATCACATAGAAAGGATCCCAGGCAAATACAATGATTAACCCAAGCAGACACATTCACTATCAACGAAGCAAGTTACATTAGATGTTTTAATTACAGCTGCAGTGCCCGTGCTATTTCCCGCATATACCACTCACATATACCAACGTACAATACCACACATACATGTATCTACGCACAGTGTATGTTGTTCATCTTTAATGTGGCAGTCCATAATGTTACGATTGGAGTTGTTCTTTTCGGATTTTTATATACAATAGATATTTTCCAGGGTCTGCAAGGAGAACTTCGCATGCTGTCTGGAGTTGCCGTACTGTTGGTTATTGATATTTTGATGCTGCTTATCTGGCAGTTGACTGACCCACTCGTGGTGGAAGATAGGCTTTTACCCGAAATTGTAAGTTGACCAATACTGGTGGTCGCCACGGTGTATATGTAATATTGCTTTTTGACTTAACTACTTATCAAGTTGGTAATTGGTCTTTTTTACAAAGTCACATTGCTTTAATACTTTTTTGATCTTGTACCAAAGGTGGCACATGTTCGACCAGTACGTCAGCTCAGCTGCTGTTTCAAAGTATGGCTTGGATATAATATGTCTCCTGTTCCTTCTTTAAATTAGAGAGATGGTGCCAAGATGGTGCGGTATCAGACCTTCTATCGCCAATGTCACAGCGGGAGTGCTATGGGCTGGACCATTGCGTTTATCGTGTACAAAGGTCTGCTGTTGCTGGGCTCTGTTTGCTTGGCCTGGCCTACCTGGTACGTGAACCAATATGTACATGTACACCGTAACATCCAACACACTATCTGTCGCATCCAGAACACTTCCAAATCTTCGAATCACGTCAGACACAACATGGAAACAAATTATTGACATAATGTTTGAAGTTTATTTTCAGACCTTTTAACTGTATCCCGTGTAGGGTCTATGATCTCTACCTTCGTCATAGTTCCACTTATATTATTATTCTGCTACACTGCATTTCATTTAACGTAATATTCGCATTAGTTTCTTTTTTTTCTAGGGCAATGTCGGTGAAGAGAGATGTTGGAGACAGCAGTCAGGTTGGCTTAGCTATTGTTATCATTACCTTGGCGACTGTTGTCGGAGTTCCAGTAGGTGTCCTCGTACAAGAAGAGCCCAGTGTCAACTTTGGCGTCATAGCTGGCTTCACGCTCTTCGCTATCATAGCTACGGTTTTGTTGCTTTTGATTCCCAAGGTCAGACTCTATTTTAAAATGGCACTTTTATTTGACTGTTTGATTGCAGCAAAAAATTTAATTCAGCGAAGGATTTATTTTTTGCCATGAAAGAAAGATACAAATACTGAGGATGGGCCCCACGTGAGTTGACGTACACTATAAAAATTTTATATACTTTTGAAAATTATTTCATGCTTTTGTATGGAAATTCTGAAAATTTCGGCGGTTTGTTTGTCTAATAAATTTAATTCAGAAAGAATGGAACCAAAGAATCACTTGAAGCGTTCAACCAATCAAAAGCCAAATTTTTTTGTAATGGCGTAGCCTTTGAATCAAGGTGATTTGTTTCTCCAAATATGCCTTTGGTTTTTACAGCTCATGGAACTCAAGAGGGGGGAGATGGAACCGTCGCTTTGGTCGCCATTGCGGCTCTACGTCGCGGAGTTCTTCAATGACGCAGGTGATAAGTAGCCTTCTCGTGCCACTGAGAACGGAGATGCTAATGCAAGTAACGACAACCAAGGCGATGGAAGAACAGCTCATATCTAGGTTGTTTAAACATTGTGGCTTATGGCTGCGCTACAAGTGCCGTCACGGTTTTTGTTGTTAACTCAGTGAATGGACATTTTTTTCAACCCTCATTCCACCGTGGATGACTTTATATGATAGGCCGTTTTACATATTTGTTAAGGATATTACAAATGGTTACATTTGTCCATTCATATCTTACATATTCAATAGCAATTGTACGGGTGACTTTGATTTGTCGCATACAAACCATGCTGCATGCAAACACTTAGATCTCCCGCAAGAAAACGCAGTAGATACTCCAGCGCAGTAGACTACTGCAATTCTACTGCAAACATGCTTCAAATCTGCTTCGACTGGGGAGCTAATTAGCATATTTGAAACATGCTTCTATCATGCTGCAAATCTACTGCATTAATGCTCCTCCTCTGTACGACCCTATGTAATTTTTGAAGTAGAATTGCAGTAGGCTATGCTGCATTTCTACTGCAAATATGCTCCACACCACTACTGCGTTAATGCTTCTTTGCTACTTCGATACTACTGCATTTTCGTGCGGGCTAGATTACTGATATACATATTTGGATATTGAAATATATCACTATTAAAACTTATTTTTTAAAAGATATGATGGTTTAGAGTTTTATACACAGCTGTTGCAAAGTTCAATATCATCTCTAGAGCTTGGCGGTAGAAAAAAATCATACCAGTTTCTAATATCACCGAGGGAACACGTGTGCTGTTCCAACCTGAAAAGATCCTGAGTTTTATAATAAAGGGTATTTATCGAAATATATAATTTTTTTGAATCTTTATGAGTGATCGTCAACATTATGTTATATCGCGTCACAAAAAAAAAAAAAAAAAAAAAAAAAAAAAAAAAAAAAATATATATATATATATACCTCAGCAATTGTTAAAATCATTTTGTATGTTACCAAGTTGCAACAATAGACTACTTTACTGATCCAAATTAGTCTGGATGATTGGCGCTATATATTGTCCAAACGTACACACCCTTGAAAATGATCAGCATAGTCCAAGTAACATATCTGTCAAGTTGCATGCTTTTTCCACATTATGAGCAATGTTAATAATAAGTGAAACTTCTATACCAGACTTTGTGTTTTTATTGCTTTGGCCTAAGGTCAGCAAGAAAAATATTATAGACTTCAAATATATCAAATGAATATAATTCAAATTTGTTTCAGGTGTGTAGTCTAAGGACATCTCAGTAATTTTGATTTAAAATGATTGTAATGTTTAGGTTGGCGGTTATTCTGAGATGGGGACTTATTTTCTGCTAAAACGAATTTTAAATTGTTTATGTTCTTATTTTATCAAATTGGTAAGAAATTGTAAAATGGAAGGTTTTTTGTCGTGGGAGTGTAGAATGATGTCTCCTCTACGTTTTCCATGTCTTAGGTCCAATAAATCGATATCCTTCTAGAGCAATTTCAACAGCGAGTTCCTTAGCAAACTTTTTGCTGTTTCCGGTACTTGTTTCTTTTTTTACAAATTGTTGATTTCCTTAATGCTAACCCTGTTTTGTATACTCAATGTCTGAGCACCGATGCCATTGGCATTTTAAATTAAAATTACAACAAAGAAGGGAACAGATGTTATCGTTAAAAAGACAAGAAAGCTGTTTCAAGAACGCAATAGTAATACAGGGTGGTTTAAAAGTAGAACTCGAAACAAATGAAAACCTTCAGTGGCGTTGTTAGCTGGTTGTGTCTTACCTTTTTTATCAACACATCATATTTTCATTGCCATAAAACTGTATGATATTCAACATCAAACCCAGACTTCTTTAAATCTTTGGATCTTTTAATTAAAAATTTTAAAATCTTGAGATCTTAAAATTGAAATTCTTGGAAAGTTTAGGTCTTGAATTTGAACTTCTTTGAATCTTTATATCTCTAAATCTTAATCTGTACCAATTTGATTCCTTATTTTTTTACATCTTTAAATTGAGCTTTTTAAAGCTTTAGATTTTTTTAATCGAGTTTTGTTAACTCTTTAGATTTTAAAATTAGATTTTCTTATATCTTTACATCTTTAAATTGAACTTTTTTAAATCTTTAGATTTTAAATTGAACCCCCGAATGACAACGTCAACCTCAGTAAGGCACGGATGTTTAAAAATGATTTTTTACGTCAAATGTATTATATGGTGACATTCATAATATCGTGGAAAGTGAAGACGTATTTGGATTTTTTGCTTCCGGGACGTTTAAAAAAACATATATATATTTTCACTCATTCTCTCTCTCTCTCTCTCTCTCTCTCTCTCTCTCTCTCTCTCTATATATATATATATATATATATATATATATATTTTTTTTTTTTTTTTGTTTTCTTCACATATATATATATATATGTGAAGAAAACAAAATTTTGAAAAATGAAGTTAAAGTCTACTTTTTCTAAATATCTGGGGATAGAAAGTGATAAAGCTGGCTTTTTTAAAATAAGACATTGAAAATTTTCATGCCTTGCCGGTATACGGGGACGAAGTAACGAAGGTTTTGCCTTATTTTGGCAACAAAAGTTTTGAAAATGACAATTCAACTTTCGGAAAATTCGCCTTATTTTTAAAATTTTAATTAAAATACTAACAAAAATTATAGTGTTCTAAGATAGATGTATTACGAGATGCACATTTATTTTACTGACACATTCTGTCCTCAGCTTCAAGAATGTGTTTCACAGTGCATGGTAAGGAAGGTTTTGCAAATACACAAGTGCTTGGTGGATGTTCTGTACAGAAGATCACGTTTAAATATTAAATAAGGCACATCCATTGGTGCACATAGCTCAAACAGCGACATGCCTATGAAGTTTATTATGCTTATGTATTATATTTGTTTATAGAACACTGGGAAAATCCGAAAGTTTCTCTGTCAAAAGAATGTATGATTTGACATGAAATATGATTTGTATTTGATTGTATAAATGAATTAACTACTTGTAAGTTCAATTTGATGTACATCCGCACGAAAATGCAAAAAGAAGCAAAAATGCATTAACGCAGTAGTGGTGTGGAGCATATTTGCAGTAGAAATGCACCATAGCCTTCTGCAATTCTACTCCAAAAAGTACATATGTTTGGACAGAGAGGAGCATTAATGCAGTAGATTAGCAGCATGATAGAAGCATGTTTCAAATATGCCAATTAGCTCCCAAATCGAAGCAGATCTGAAGCATGTTTGCAGTATGATTGCAGTAGTCTACTGCGGTTTGCAGTATGATTGCAGTAGTCTACTGCGCTGGAGTATCTACTGCGTTTTCTTGCGGGCAGGCACATGTTAATAATAATGCAGCGTGTTTACATCAATGAATAGTCTTTATATAATTAGCTGTTCCACTCCCTGGTTGCAATGGTCAGTGAAACAGGCTTTTTCCAAAGGGGGGGGGGGGAACGTTCGTATAGCAGCATCTTTCAGAGTTTGTTATAAATTATAAGTAAATGCACAAATAGCAAGTCATTTAATTGTATCACTTATTATATATTGTATTATCCAAAATAAATGCTTAAATTAAATGTATAAATTTATGTGCACATTATCTGCAGTTAGATATATTTCCTGCCTCTCTCTCTGTGGAAGAAAGATTTACTCCAAGTCCTCAACAACCCGACGTGATATAAGTTTCTATTAGGTATTATCCCTAAAATTAAGAATTACCAAACAATTAAAAAACAGATGGCTGAAAATGTACATAATTCAAAACAAGATTTTAGTTCCATTTATATATGTATATTGAGGCTACAATACAGGGGGTATAGCAGATTTACTGAGCGTGCCACATGTAGGCCCGCGGATTAAATGGCATGGGTCATACTATAAAAAGTATTTTAGTCAACAAGTTAAGAAAAACTTCCATGTCCAGAGATCTTTTATGGGAAAAGGTATGCAATCAGGTATGCAATCTTACACAGCCACGACCTACACGTACATGTGTTGCAAATGTCTCCCCTAAAATGATCAGGACACACGCACTGGAAAATGCCACCATATTCAGTGCACGTCCCTCCATTTAAGCACGGCTGGGAATCGCAGGGAGCTAGAAAAGATATTTGTCTATAAATATACCAACATAAATTTACTTTCGGGTCTTACAAGATGTCCTATAGTGAGAAATGAAATTTGCATTGGCATATGGTTTTGGTTGTTTAATAGGTTAATATGACACGAAAAGGACAAATGCACATGGTCATTTTTGATTTGGTATATATGTCTGTAGTTGAACATAATGTGTGGTAGTATATTTTTGCTGATAACCTATATGTGCCATCCTCATCGTCTTGACTACTGGTAAAACAGTGTACATGTATGTCTGGCAAATGGAGTCATCCAAGTGTGCTACAAAAACTAAAATGCTAGAAACGCAATCTTACATGCTGTAAACGAGGAACTAGAAAACTTGAGAATTAGCGTGAGATAGGGGATAAATTTAAAAAAAATTACTTTGAAAGTTATAAAAACTGAAACCAAATGCATGGTGAATTGGTCCTGTTGTGCAATTAGATTATAAGTCGAAATAATTGAATATAAAGTAGCCAGAAAGTACCAATGCATATATTATATCTACTTTCATTGTTGAGATAGCAATTGGTATGGGGCGTAACTTCATCCCTGAACAAGATATTATCACGAGTTTAGCAGAGTTGACCAGGAGAGTATAGACTATAATCCCGTGCAGTCATTTTGGTTTAAATGTTTTGTCATGGAGTTATAAGCCCCTAATTACAGATTTTCATTAAACAAAGGTTTTATTTTGCTTTATCAGACAAAATATCAGATAAAATCTGAACTAAGACTTTAAAGAAACATCGGCAGGGTTTTGGAGTACTAAATAGTGTCATTAAATCAGCGATGAAACGGTGATCGGGAATGTTCAAGTACCCGGGTAAAAGAAAAATTTGAGAAAACGATTTG